GTACATGTTAGGGTTAGAGGTCTTATAGCAACCAAAAGAAGGCAATCACGTAAAATAGTATTTATTTCATTGCTTGAAATACGCACTAACAACGTGGTGCATGCACGACAGTGTAATGAACAGAATAACAGAAGGTGGCGTGAGAGTCGCCGCTAACGTAAGCGCTTTATACTGTTGGTATACCTGACAAATGTCCCAGACAAAAATTGTAGGGTTCCAACGGGGGTATAACACCGAGACCTCAGATTATTCTTGGAATGCAATTTTGAAAGTCATTTCGAGATAAATAGGAAGGTGTATTTTCTCTTTTAGAGTTTAAAAGAGCGTTCAGTTTCGCGTCTAAAAGTACACTTATGGTATGAAAATGATAGATGATGAGATATTTTAAAAATTAGCCAACACATACCCATTCTCTATTTTATCTGGGATCAACGACCTAAACAACATTGAAAACAACTCGATGTAAACAAACGCCGCCTACGTGCGTAATCACTTAAAGGAGTTTCTCGAATTCCCAGCCGAAATTTTATGCCAAAATCGCGAGGATGTGGTAACAGAATACCCAGGCTGCTCAGGCTGGTGTAGGGAACGTATCTACCCCGACACGCAAGGGAGAGGGCCTATCGCCTGTCTACGCGGTTCTATCGACCTACACAGTTGCACAGATAAGCTATACCAATTCACCGTCGGCGTATGTCACTCCCGTTCCTGCCCCCTGCTAACGCCGTCCAACAAGTCAGCAACGACCGGATTAGGTTCATGGAGATGGTGCGACGTCAGAATTGCCAGTTCGATAGGCAAGACACGCAGGCTTTCTGGACATCCAGGTAGAAGAAAAGAACATGCGGACTCTCCAGAACATCGGGTTAGTCTCACCATACATCAGTTACCACACTGCCTAGATCTGCCGCATTGCCGGGTGGAAGGACTGCCGGCACAAAATGACCGTCCTAGTCAGCGGAATAGACACACCGAGCAAGCATTGCTACCGAGGCTAGGTCACGATCAACGGCGTTCGACAACACCGCCGCTTCTTTGTAATGCTAGGTGGAGCATTACAGGTAGACCAGATTGGGCCTACAGTATGATGTTAGGTATAGATATCCTTTGCAAGCTGTGACTATAGCTACATGATTAATTCGTCATTGACTGTGGAGGAATCATAGGCCGCCTACTATCTTGGGACCCCGCACCCTAGCCAGCGATTTAATCGGTTCTTCATCGGTCGAGCAATGACGTCTAGATCAGCTCATCACCGCCGAGAGAAAAAGATTTGGTGATATTAAGGTTTTGCACCTTAGATACAGTGCGAGATTCTTCCGAAGGACCCGACGCTAATTAAGCAACGCAATACTTCGCAATACTATCACGCAACGACTGATCGACACAGAGGTGGAAAAGTTGCGCAGACTCATTCTGCCGTCCTGCAGCTCATGGTTCTCACTGATCGTAATGACCAAAAAGAAAAACGGGGAATAAAGTTCTTGTGTCGACTTCCGCCACTCTCACAACGTCATCCGCAAGAATATTCATCCGTTACCATAAGTAAACGCGACGCTGTAGTACCTGTTAATTATCCACGTCTAAAACGGATATTGACACATATCCTTCACGTTAGTAAGTCAGCCGTTGACCACCTGTGCCATCAACGAGTCCAGGACTCGTGGAGTTCACAGTAATGCCATTCGGGCTTCACTCTAGCCCTCTATCTTTCAGAGGTTCTTCGATCGCGTGATCACTCCAGAAATGGCTCCCCACACATTTGCCTACCTGGACGATATCGTGGTCGTCATGATTACCTTTAACAACTACTTGTGGGTATTGGTCGAAATTTTCCGCAAGACACAAACGACGAAACTGCCACCAAATTTGAAAAATGCCATTTCGCGCAGACATGCTTAAAATACTTAGGATACTTCGTCAACCAGGAAGGCTACCGAACCGACCTCGAGAAGCGACCTGTGGTCACAGAACTACAACCCTCAATCAACCTGAAAGAAGTCCACCTTTCACAGACTGCTACATATTATGGTACTAGCGATTTCTCCGAGATTTTTCTGAGGTAGCAGTACCCCTGACCTAACTGCTAAGGAAGAAGGTCGTGGAATCTTGGGAAGAACTCCAGCAATAAGCCTTCGAATAATCATGTCGACGCCTGACCGAGGCATCGTTATTAAACATGCTCAATTGGGACCTTACTTTCGTCCTTTAGACAAACGCCAGCAAGGACGGCATTGGGAGTGGTTATATAACACATCTGTTTTCGGAAAATCTATCATCTTGGACACACTGGATTTTAATAAACAGGACGCAAACGAGGAATGAAAACTGTGCGTAGCCAAGGATGACCGAGTTCGTGTGCTACGAGAACTTGACGAGGACTCCACGGCGGGCGACCTAGAAATCGCAATAACTCTAACTCACGTAGCAAGGATCTTACTAATGGTCGAGAATGGTGCGTGAGGCCACCATGGTTGTTGCAGCTGCTAGTAGTATACGTCATGCTTACGAGTCAGTGTCACAGACAATGGCCTCCAATTTATCAGGGATGAGGTCATCCTCGCATTCAGACTGCGATTCTGCACCGGTGTACGCCGTTGTACCTATTCCAGTGCTACCTAGTCAAGAGGGCCAACCGAGTCATAAAAACCGAGTCACAACGTAACTAGGATCAATAATAAATTTATTATTTGAAACTCGAACAGTTTTCCTACTAAAATCTACTATCCTTCGATCATGATAATCTCTGTCTAATATTTCTCGAGATGGAGTTGCATAATGAGATAGACAACTATCGTGTTAATACCACATATTATATTTAATCGTTTTGCAAGAGATACGATTTTTTAGCAAATGTGGCAATTATTGATATAAACAATTTCTGTACTTCGATCCATTAAGCACATAATAGAATTTATGTCGCTTCAGTGAATTACTGGCCACTACAGCTACTACAGTAATTTCTGAAACAGTAATTTTCAAAGAACATTTTCTCTAATAACAATTTTCATTCAATGTCGTTTTCTTATTGCAACGCATCCCATTTCTGAATACAACTTCACAACTCGTTGAAAACTGTTAATGGATGGCTGTCTCTATTTGGGATATCGTTTTGCATATAAGTTGCACAATCGAATTTCGGATATCCGTAATATCATTACCTATTAATTTTTTATCAGAAGTGTACTTGTCGACCCGAAATTGAATATTCTTTTCATTTTCGAAAGAAAATATAAAGCGTCATATTTAAAAAAACCAATTTGATCGCGAAATGACCATTAAAATTGCATTCTAAGAATAATCTAAGGTTACGGTGCTATACCTTCCATGAAACCTTACAACTTTTATCAGGGACCTTTGTTAACACGTTCGCGATCATTTTCATCTAGTAACATTCTTATTTTTATTAATGGCGTGATTACAAGTTTTTTTCTTGGTTGTTTAATTCCACCTCTAGCACTGACGTATTTCCTATAATTCCAGATATGTTTTTGCTCTTTTCATGTTCCTTGAACCAGCATTTTTCTTCAGGATGATATCTTGCTCCTTTTCCTAAAGTCTCGTATGTAGTACATGGTTTCTTTTAAAAAATCTTCTTTTTATTTTCCAGCTTGTAATCTATAGGGGTTTTTTTATTAATTAGACTCATATTTCCTTATTTCATTAAATAAACTAGATGAATCTTTAACCTCGTCTTGATCTATTTTGTCTGCTATAAAGTCTGAAATTCCTGCAATTATAATAACCACTAATGATGCTGGGTTCATCTTTTTATTCACATGCAATAATAATCTTATTTTCACATCTAATAATAATAATAATCAGATTTTAGTTCCTCTGTTTGTTGTACCCACCCTATTCTTCTATCATGTCTCCTGACATTAGCCTTTACTTTATTGTATAGATCTGTTTTTCTCAGTTCACTGTGGTGAGCTATGTTTCTGTACTCTTCGGGTAGTTCGTACTTCTCTCCTTCCTCTGTTGTAATTGGGTTATGTATAATATATTCGACTTCGGGTCTTTATCCGACGCTGCTACAACGAATTTAAATCGCAATTTTTCCATTGTGTATTCGTAGACTGATTGTCGTTTTATAAGACGTCTTTATCTCAGATATAGAGAGGTGATGAATGACTACTTTGAATTTGTGTCACTGAAAAACAGAGGACATTTTATTCGCTACATACATTGCTATTTACAATTATTTACAGTAAACTTACCTGAAAAACAGAGAAACGACAATTATAAGTCAATTCACTGTCCCTTTTCTAATTACCCCCTTTCTTCCGATTGATTTGGATTCGAGCAACCGAATTAGTCACGTGATACTCCCCAACAAGAGCGGCGGCACCGACAGTTAACTCGAGAGCACCAATGTCATGGTCAGGCGACCAAACCTCAACAACGGTCGAACCACCGACGACATCAGCACCAAGGAACTCGGAAGCGGCAGAAACCGCACAAGCGACGTCAGTAACTTGGCCATCTGGGCCCTTCCTCTTCCTCAAAGTAGTGCGAGCCTCCATCACTGTTAAAAAGCGAGAGGTAACGCACATACCGACAGGGTCCATTGAAACTAAACCCGACTTGGCGGCAGATCCACCTGGCGGTAAACTAGCCAAGAAGCTCTTCGGCAATCGACCAGACACGCGAGTCAAAAGGTTCATAAAACAATGAACGTCCTCGCGAAGATGATCGGTCGAGTAGTCCACCGGCCATACGGAGTCCACATTTAAAATGCGGGATTCTCCGCTCCAATGCACACCCGGGATGGCGCACATTTGCCGGATTTGTTGACGATATGCTAAAGGAGTATCACCAGCGTTCACGCGCTCAAGAATATCACGAATATTAGAAGGCATGATGTGTAGCGCAGCATGTATGGGATCTTCAACGTCTGCGTCTGGCAAGAAAGCATGCCATATAGTAGATCCTTCGATCTTACCAATAGCGCCAAGAACTGAGGAGATGGCTACCGGCACCTGCGAAACACATGATGTGTAGCGCAGCATGTATGGGATCTTCAACGTCTGCGTCCGGCAAGAAAACATGCCATATAGTAGATCCTTCGATCTTAACAATAGCGCCAAGAACTGAGGAGATGGCTACCGGCACCTGCGAAACACCAGCCACAATTTGACGTACCTCCTCGCTAAAGAACATTAAATTCCGCAACGGGTACGACTGCATCTCACTCTGAATGAAGCGGGACTCGTACACCTTGTAAAAGGCCAGATACAAGCAGACGAATTAAAAACAAGACCCTTTTAGATAAACCTTAATCTATAAAACCTATATTTATTTTGATTGAATACAAAGGGGATATTGATTGAACGAACGATCAGAAATTACATGTTCAAAAAGATTAAGACTTTCCCAAAAAGAATCTTCCAGTGGCTTGTATGACCATGTCAGTGTCTTCTTGTCCCTCCAGAGTGGGTGTAACGTCCTCTATACGCCTCCATCCAGTAGTTCCTGCATCCAACGTTCCTTGATTCTTCTCCAATAGTTTGCGCAGCTTATCACGGAGGGTTGTGTAGCTACTCATCAAGGATTGCAAGGACCTACCACCACTAGCTTTGCTTTTCTCACTCATTAAGTGATCAAAGAATGCGTCGGAAAATTTCCTTTTAGTTTTGCCACTGAAGCAGGGTATAGATGAGAGCTGACTATATGATGATGTTAACAGTGCAGTCTGATTTGCCTGAGACATCTTAGAATAAAATTTCTGTTTGACCGGCTCAAATGTGATTGAGGTGCCAGTAGTATTTGCCTTTTGGAAAATGCGATCTAATTCTTCTCTTGTATCCCATGTTGCTTGATTAGTTATTTGCGATAGAATTCCTAAATCTTCCTTGTAGGTTCCAAACATAGAGTGATAACATACTTGTTTTGCCTGACTGTCAGTAGCGCCATTTAAATTCAATTTCCACTTCGTACTCATAAAGACCTTGTAAAAAGCAAACGCACCATGCCCTGAGAAGTTGAAATTGCCGTATAGATCTATAGTATTGTAAACACTATTCCCTACTCTGTGGGATTTGTTGGTGAATATATAACTGAAAGCTGCTTGTGGTGGGAACATCCTCATCGCTTGTCTAGTAGTTGCAATCAAGGCGATGTCTGACATCAACGTTATCAGTGTCCTGATTTCACGGAGGAACAAACATAGACACGACCGATCAAACGACTCAAACCTGCA